TATCACCCGCAGGCTAATCCCGTCGAGAGGGTGAATAGGGTCCTCAAAACCATGATTGTGGCTTTTCTCAGTCGTGATCACCGCGAATAGGACACTCATTTGAGGGATTTCCGTTTCGCATATAATACCGCTCACCATTCATCGGTCGGCACCTCACCCGCTTTTCTAAATTTAAGTCGCAAGTTGATACCGGCATGATCGTTGCGACGAAGGAACCAAGGGGCGACTGGGGTGGAGCCGCGAGACCCCGCGAACTGGGAGGAGCGCTGCAGTTACAATTGCTGCATCGTTGGATTAGCGATAACTTCGATCAGGCCCATCAGCAGCAGGCCCGACACTATAATTTACGTAAGTGCGATCGCACCTTTAAAGTGGGGGATCTCATTCTGAGACGACAACACTCTATCGTCGGCGGTTCACAATGTCGCCGAAATTCCAGGGACCATTTAAGGTTAGTGGGATTCTTTCTCCAGTGGTATAGTTGGCGAGTCTCGAAGGTGTTCGGGTGGGAAAATTGCATGTAAAGGATCTCAAACCATACCTCATTTCTTAGCCTTGCTAATCCCTAGCTTCACATTTGCAGTTATCAGTATCGGAGTAGTCGCTGGGTGGTGGATCTCGAAGACTATTGAACGGTGTTGCCCCGAGAGGATGGGGGAGAGAGGAGAGACTTTCAGAAGACGATATAATGCGGTCTTTCAGGGAATCCGCCAAGCCTATCCGACCTTTTGAAGAGAGGCGAGAGAAGTGGCGGAAGAATATCGGCGCAGCGGCACCGGGGGAGCTGTAGTAAAGGAGCGGTCCGACACCCGGGACGCCGCTGTGCAGGTAGGAAACGGACCATCCCGCACCCGGGATGCGGCCCAACAGACCGACCCTATACCACCTGGAACACCAGCCTCCCAGAAAGGAACAAGGGAGGAACGAAACACCTCCGGGGCCGGGGGAGGGGCGCGATCGCCAACACCGCAGCGGAGGCCCGACGGGACCGGCAGAATACACGGTAGGAGGACCAGCGACCCGGGCGGGTGCTGGAACTGTGGCAGGGAAACCCATAGATACACCGATTGCCCGTACATCCGAGACCATCCGTTTTGCTACGGATGCGGGAGAGCGGGCATGATACGGAAAACCTGACCGCGATGCAAGAAAGAGTATGCAAAGAAGGGCCCCTACCGTCCCGCGCCATAGTTGAGCCGGGAAACAATATCGTTATCGCGCTATCGAAATAAAGTTTATCGCCAAAACCCATAGTTGTCTTTGGGCCTTGATCGCCGCTCCATTTCCCTTTTTCCTTCTTCATACCGACCCTACCGCCTACTTAATGTTTTTGCGATGCATGCGGCTTTTTTTGAAATGAGTGGCAGAGCTTATTCCTGTTCTCACTATATATATTTTTTGTTTTTCGTGGCTCCTTGGTATACTGAGAGTTCCCGATCTTATTTTCGTTGGTGATGGAGTTGGACGTACGACAAGGCTGTTGGCGAGGCGTTTGACGCGAAGCTCAATTTTTGTTTGGGTAGTCACGATGCAGCGATGCCGTGTCCGCCTCGGAAGATTTTGGGGAGGGGGGAGATCAGCAGGCAAGCTGCTACCGGAAGCCAAGCACTTGTGTACCGTTTAGCGAGCAGGGTATTGTAAAAATCGAAAAATTTTTTTTTCTTCTTTCCCTGTTATCTACCACTTTCTTTTTGTGTTCTCCTACCGCATTCTGAGAGTCAGGAAACTTGAAGAGTGATTTTGGCGTATATTAGCGTAACGGAGAGAGAGGAGCTCGGGAGCAGGCCGCGATAGAGCATATTTTCGGGGCCGCTAGACGTGTTCACGAGACCGCCAGCGACTGCCTTCCCTCATTGCTTGGAGTCAGTACCGTTTTGCGTAGGTCCCTTCCGGGGATTCCGAACAACCCTCGCGTTAGGGGCCGGAGGAGGAAAACCGTCAATACCGTACCGTACTTAAGGAAAAGGCAATCCAGATGCTCGTCCGTGACGTGCCGCTGAGTAACGATTAGGAAGAAACTGGTGGCTATCGACGTTCGTCGTAGCCAAGACCTCCTCAGTCCTCCCCGGGGAAGGGGGAATTGTGATGTGACGTTTTCCGTCCGTCACAAGGATCGCACGACCCGACCGAATAGTGCAATCTAGCGTCCTGACTCCTTCCACATTTTAGGGGGCGGACGCATCTGCGCTTTTTCGCGACGTTATTTGCGTGTCTCACGCGTTTCGCATTGCCGTTTTCGTTTCCTTTTTTGTGTATTTCCGTACCGAGAGTTATAGAAACTGGCGACTCCCGCGATCTTGGCAGATTAACGCCGCCACACCGAACCGTGAAGAGAGAAGAAGGAAGACGATCAAGACTGGAAGTCGAGTAACGACCGCTGCGAATGGATTTGCCGGGACGCACGACACTCTGTTCCCCGGGTCGCACGCAGGTGATATCATTCATTATTTCACCCTTTTTGCTGTCGCAAGACACCTTTTATCACATCATCTTCTAGGCACAAGGCGGAACGAAGATTGGAATGGCAAGATAGGGGTGGTCACTCTACGCCCCAAGGACGGCGAGAGCCCCGAGAAGATACCTCAAAGCTTCGAGGTGGCCCGAGAAGATCCTGCGGACCCTCAAATTTCGCGCGCCAGGACATGCGACACGGGCATGAAGCAAACGAGAATGGAATAAAATAGATTAAAATTTTTTTCTAATCCGAATGCGTATTTTAAATAGCGAATATTTTTTTGGATTTAATTGGATTCAATTGGATTTAATTAGATTCAATTGGATTGAAAAACTGCATTTGCTATTCAAAATTTTGAATTGAACAGTATTCACAATTGTGTGTTTGTGCACAGAAAAAGCTAATATTATTTTTAGATTGAAAGACATAGAGATATGCTCTATGCAATTCCTATAAATGAATAAAAATGTATTCAAGATTCAAAAGGATTCATTTTAATATTCATGAATCCATATTTCTGAAAATCTGAATCCATTTTAATCCGTTTCAATCCATTTTCGTTTGCTGGGAGCGTCGGCTCTTTATTAATAGTAGCTTTTTATTAATAGTTGATTTACTTCATTAGAGTCTGTACAATTTTGAAATTATGCTTATTTATACAGCATTTATATGTAGTGCATAAAGAAATCATGAATATAACAATGTATTATCGAAATATTCGAAATATATATAAGGTCTAGTAAAAAGAAATCTATTATTTTTGCATTAAATTGAAGGCTTTATTTAGCATAGTTAGAATGATCCGATTTAGGTTAAATATGCACCGTTTTGTTCGATAACTTGTTGCCATTTTGAAGGTAATTTCATTATGCCTCTCTCATAGAAACCCTCGTCCCTATTGGCAAAAAACTGGGACAGTCGATTTTCACAAGCTTCTCTTGAGGCGAATTTTTCACCAGCAAAATCATTCGCCATAGACAGGAACAGGTGGTAATCACTTGGTGCCAGGTCCGGACTATAAGGTGGATGCATAAGAACCTCCCAACCAAGCTCCCGGAGCTTCTGGCGAGTCACTATCGATGTGT